GGTGGTGATGCATCCGACGTTTTATGATGTCATAATTGGTGGTGATGCATCCGATCCGTTCCGTCATGGAACGTAGATGTCATCAGGTAATAAATATGGTCGGATCTTCGTTTTATGACTAGATCCAGAATGGGTTGGGTGTTACACGAATTGCCTAACTCCATATCGGGTCGTCAATTTTTAAAACACAGGGTACCACCAACAATACTTAAATGCGAAGAGAGGTGCTTCTTTTTCTATATATATATATATATATATATAAACAAAATATCATCAAAATTAACACTTCTTGCATTGAAATGCGAAGTGAGGGGCGTCTTTTTCTATAATAAAAAAAAGACAAAATATCATCAAAATTTGGATTCTATTTGTAGAGCAGTCTGAAATGATCATCTCAAGGCTCCTTCATCTATCTTGTTAAAATGTACTAAAATATCCTTATTAAATTTGGATTCTTGAACAAGTAAATGTTTCCCCAATTTAGTGCCCTAAGCTGAATAATGTGTTGCATATGCTTCTTTTAGGTTAAACCACAAATAAAAATTTTCACTCAAATCTCTTGGGACTTTTTGAGTATTTTTTACCAAATACTTAAAAAAAATAGTTGGGTGAGGTTATCTTATTAAACAAAGCAATTAATCGCCAAATTAGTTAGAGTTGACCACCTTAATAACTCTTTGACATGATTATTTTAGTAATATTTTGCATATAAAAAACTAAAAAGAAATAACCCATGCACTAAAACTTTCTAGGGTACCGTGTTTTTTTTTCTTTTTCTTTTGTATTTATGACCTGATAACTTATTGTGTTATGCTTCCAAATTTCAATAAAAAGCGACTTAACATGATAAGCAAGTTTACTATTTTTAGGGAAAATTACATAGAAATCCGTTATAATTTACGTTATTACGGTTACACCAAATACTTTTTGTTATTATACAACTGTCCGTTTTTTATCTTCCATAACGCTATTTTAAAAAAAAGACATATTTGCCTATTTTCGGATGTTCAACATTTGAATTTCTCATATTTTTGGATGTTGAATATTCGAATTTAGCCGCAGGTCAAACGATGCTTTTTCCCATTTTCAGATATTCCGCATCCGAAAATATCAGAAATTCGGATGTTGAACATCCGAAAATGACTGATAGTTGAACAAAAACATAACCTCGTTACTGATAGCGAGGTTTTCCGAAAAACCCTAGCTGCATATCCGAAAACCCTCACTACTACCATAAACCTTGCATCATATTCAAAATCTATCATCGCTACTGTTTCAAAGTCTTCAACATCCTTCATCTTATTCAACAAGGTAAGGTTTTTTATTTTTTTGCTTGTTTTTCATTATTTTTTTTAATTCAAATAAATCATTGTGCTCTATGCATCTAATGGTCCAAAAATACATCAGTATAGAAGTAACATTTTGGTGCTTTTATTTTTACTATTAATTTTTTTATTTTTTACTAGGTTTTGTTGTGTATATGATGAATCCCTAAAAATACATCAGTATAGAAGTTACATTTTGGTGGTTTTATTTTGACTATTCTCTGCATCATTTTGGTGGTTTTATTTTTACTATTGGTTATTTTATTTTTTACTAGGTTTGTTGTGTATATCATCCATCCCTAAAAATACATTAGTATAGAAGTTACTCAATTTCTTACTGTTGGGAGTGAATTTCTTACTCAATCCCTAAAAATACATCAGTATAGATGTTACTCAGTATATGATGCATCCTTAAAAATACATCAGTATAAAAGTTACTCAGTATATGATGCATCCCTAAAAATATATCAGTTTGACTATTTTCTGCAGCATTTTTACTGTTGGGTGTGAATTTCTTAATTATTTATTCACTTTTTTTATAAAATATTAGCATCTTTTTGTTGCATTTGATCAATTTATCAATTATATCAATTTTTTGAAATGTAGGGTTGCCCAAATAGTGAAGATTTGTGTTGGTGAAATTTGTATGTTTTTTTTAATGCTTATTGTTCTTCTTGTGAAATTTGTGTCTTCTATTGAATGCTTATTGCTCCTCTTTTGAATATATGAAATTGAACGGTTAAAAATGGTTAACCTGATATATGCAATTTCTAGTGTTAGAAATAGGTATTAATCTAGATTCTGAGTGATAGTTTACTAATGGATGGTTGTTTTTGGGTGGTTGGATATAATGAATTTTGGACAGAACAAATCTTTAATTACCAATAATTAGAAAACCACTGGGCCAACTAGAGACTTTCCCGAGTTGGCCTGGACCAACTAGAGACTTTCCTAAGTTGTTTGTTCATTTGTTATCCAGTAAATTTATGTATCTATAACCTTATGATTAACATGGTAACCATGTAGGATTTCAATAAATATAAATAGTTTACATCTCGATGGAGGATATTCATGAGGTCCTCAGGACCCTAGTTTGCTACAACTTTATTCTAGACATGCATCATATTTTACATGGGAATGACAGATATATGCATATATTCATCTGCCCTTTCTATTAATTTATTATTTTTCAATAAATTGTACTCAGGTTCAAACATTCTATGTGAAATACATCTATATGTATTCGGACTAATATGTTGTCTATTTATTGTATTTTAGGAGAAAGAATAAATTAGAAATGATGAGAAGAATTTTCAATTAAACGAATGGAAATTAACAGAATAGCAAGTTGAATTAGTTAATGCGTCTGGGTTGGGTCCCTTGTCTATCATTCGGCCAGGCCGAATTGATCATCCTTTGGTCTCAGCTAATGTAGAGAGGTGGCATTTTGAGACCAACACATTTCATTTCAACATTCATATTGGTGAGATGACACCAACGCTATTTGATATATATGAGATATTAGGCTTAGCTGTAGATGGCGAGCCAATTACATGTCGTCCTATCAATGACCTGCAACAGTATATAGAAGACAATTTGGGTATGGTCGCTGATGGCAACCTAAAAAGCTTGAGGCATACATGGTTGAAGGCGAATTTTAGGAAATTGACACCGGATGCAACCTCTATTCCAGTTTATAGATATACTAGAGCATATATGCTCTTCCTCATCAGTCTCACCATATTCGTTGATGCATTAGTTTCAACAGTGCCAACAAGGTACTTGCAGTTTTTTGAAGATATTGAGGGAGCCAGCAAATATGCTTGGGGTGTTACAACCGTTGCATTCCTCTATCAGTCACTGGGAAGAGCTTGTACCTTCAAGCTAAGACATTTTAGTGGTTCAACCACTCTCATGTAGGTAACCTTTTTTTTTGGTATATGACATAAGTGTTGCTGAATTTATTAAATATTAAATAATCTTCGTTGTTGAATTTATTGTAGTGCTGGTCATATGAGCATATTAGGCATATGAGGCCCATACCGCATAACATCTCTCCCAATTTGCTTAAGGCCAAAAGATGGGAGCCCCCGAAGAAATATTATGGCAATCCACATAACCTAATGCCCCTCCCATTAGACAAGAATTTGGTAACCTCCAACCTAATGAGGTTAGTGTATAATTTGATATTTATTACTTTCAAATGCATTTAATCATTTGTAATTATTTTTATTGACTGATTGCATATCATATAACAGGTAATATGAAATCCCTATTTCAAGCCTGATGAGGTCATTTCAGATGACAGGCAGAAGACATTTGAAACTACAATGTGCCTAACGACACTTATATTTTACGATATTGTCGAGCCGTACATGCCAGATCGAGTACGCTGGCAATTTGGCGCTAAACAGAGTATTCCTAAAAATCCCTTGGTTGGTGGTAAGAGGGCTAGCAGACAAGGTGGACACCAAGATTGGCGAAATGTGAATGCAAATAAAATCCACCAATGGTTGTCTCTCCATGAACGCATGAGGCCTGATATTCAAGTAGTTACTGACAATGGGTTGCCCTCCGATGAGTACAAGGCTTGGTACAACTTAGTGTCTCATCCTCTAGTACATAATGTCGCTAACCCACCCAGTTGGTATGTTTATATTGACGTACACATTCTTATAGTCTTGTATTTACCTATTTGTTCCACGAAATTGTTTTAATATATTAATTAGGTAATCTTGTTTGTACAGGTTAGTGTAGTTCAGGCATCTACAGTCATGTTAGTGGAGGCACTTACACTTAGACATAAGTGGTATTCGAAAGATTATAATCGCGTTAACAACGTGTTTGAAACATTGTCTAAGTTGGTGCTTGTTGATATGGATGACATAAAAGCCAGCATGACAAGTTTACAGCGTGAATATCAAAACGATGGTGTACCTGACGAGGCCGGACATGATGAAGTGGGTGAAAGTAGTCGGGCTGTAGAAGACCTAGCTCCGTCCACACAACTAGCAGTTGAGGAGCCCAGAAAATATAATACAAGAAAGAAACAGTATCAGCCTAAGAGAAGGCGACCAATGTAATGGGGTCTTGACCATTGTAATTTTGTTCATATCTTCATTTTGAATGTTTTGAAACAATTAATTTGTTCATTTTGAACGATGTAATGTATTGGTCTTTTTGGCCCACCCTATTTGTTCAATGAATTTTGTTAAGTACAATTTGGTCTTTCTACTTTATTAAGTCTGTGTTTTTTTGAAGAACTCGTTGCTAGTCTTTGAGCACCATTATCAATTGGGATGAATCAAGAGCTATTAAACCTGAATTTCATACCAAAGGCGTGAAAGAATCAAGTGTAGTGTGATTAGAGAAATGGAGCGAGGCACAGATCGTGTCGAGAAGGCTGGGGGGCCTTTCGAGCTGATCTAAGAGAAGGGAGATCCAGTCGATTCGATATATATCTATATATATAAATATGAAGGTTGGTTTATACATTCAATTGATGAATGTTGTTTAATGTATATAGCAACTTAAAACATTTTCGGATGTTCAACATCCGAAAATGACACTGTCAAAATCAAGGAAATTCTGGATTTTAAGAGTCAATTTTCAGATGTTTTAACATCCAAAAATGGCATATTTTTTTAATGTTACACATCTGAAAATTGACTATCAAAATCCAGGAAATTCTGGATTTTGGCAGTCAGTTTTCGAATGAACATCCGAAAAAATTTCCTTGTCAAAATGTGACATTTTCAGATGTTGAACATCCGAAAATTGACTGTTAAAATCCAGAACTTCCTGAATTTTAACAGAGCTATTTTCAGATGTTGAACATCCGAAAATATGCCATTTTCGGATGTTCAACATCCGAAAAAATTTCCCTATCAAAATGTGACAGTTTCAGATGTTCAACATCCGAAAATGTAACATTTAGGATGTTCAACATCAAAAAGTTGTTTAGACATCAGATTGATCATATGGACATCATCACGATGCATTGACATGATAAAAAAATGGACTTCAAGGTTTGATGCATGGACATGAGAATGATGCATGGACATGACAACAACGATTGGCAAACTCATAATAGTTTCAGAAGGTGCTCTAAATTCTCCATTATAATATTCATGACAACAACGAATTCCAATTGCACTGACACAATTTTGACAACAAAAACACAAGATTCATTCAAGTCATTAATTCATGAAAATCATAATTCCATACAATAATATAATATTGACATCAAGCTCACTCTATCGCTTCTCTGCATGTCTCCCAATTATGACCCTCTGCGCCGCATCGTTTGCACTTCAAAGGCCTGGTGATCTGATGTTCCGTCTCGAATATCCTTTGTTACTTTTTTGGTCTACCGGGAATACGTGTAGTCCTTGGTGGCAACACTGTCCTACTGTAAATACCTATCAACTCAATATCATCCGAGACAAGCACAAAGGGAATTTCAAATGCCCTTGTAAAGTATTTTGCTGTAAAATACTTAAGGCAGTACACAGTGGGATCCAAATGTATATGGTTAATGCCGCAATAGCATGGACACACGGAATGCCACTGAGTTGCCATTTTCTACAACTGTATGTCCAATACGTTAAAGCGACAGTGTACTTCTTCCCAAGGTAGTGGATCTCAAACTACGTGTCCCTGACGGATATAACTGTGTGCAAAAATCGAGCCTTCATTTTTCGCGTGTCAAGTAATTCTTGGGCCTTTGGTACTAGTATGCCGCTACAAGTATTACCTAACTCCCTCTTCTCTTCAAACCTGGTCATCAATTGTACCCTTATTTCTTCATACATTGTAATGATCGGCTTCTCTTGAGCTGATAAAATCCAAGCATTGAAAGACTCGACAATGTTTGAGGCAAGATGATTGTATACAGACCCTAAAAAATAGGTATCCGCCCAATATTTGGGTGGAATATTCTTAATCCTATCATATGCTTCTAGGTCGGCACACTGTATATCAAACATTATTTTTTCAAACCCAACAATAGTCACTTTATGAGCAGCCTTCCAAAACAGCATAATCAATACTTCAATATTTGTTGACCTCTTCATAAAGCCCTTGAAGTTCTCTTCCATATGTCGCCGGCAAAATGATGGAAAACATGTTGGAAATTATTTTTCTATTGCTTCTAGCAGGCTTTTCTGTCGATATGATATAATGGTTAAGGCAGGCAGATTAGGGTACTCATTCAAAAGCTCACTCAATATACTTAAAAACCAATACCAACTCTGGTAATTCACCTTCTCAACCACTACAAATGCAAATGGGAAGAGCCCATTATTTGCATCTAGCGCGAAAGCGCACAATAAAATGCCTTGATGCTTTCCTTTTAGGAAGGTTCCATCAATACCAATTAGTGGCCTACATCTATTAAAAAACCCCATAATGCATGGACGATAGACAATAAATAGCCGTTTGACCTTGCCTTCATTTGTGTGAATGCGAACTTCGGTTCCCGGGTTAGTTCTTCTGATATTCTCAATATATAGGGGGAGGTCATGGTATTGTTATTCATGTGATCCATCTATCATCTCTCTAGCAACCTCTTTTCCCTGCCAAACTTGCATGTAAGAAAGTTTGACCCCGTGATCACATTGAACATCCTTTATAATATCTTTTGCTTTAATTTTTAGTTAGTCAAGAAGGCGTTTAATCTTTTTTGCCACCCAATCACTACGAGCTAGTGGCTGATTGACCCTCCCCATTGGACTACTACATGTGTGCTCTTTAACCATAGACTTCACTTTAAAGCATGCGGTGCTGCCAACTCGTAAGCACCGCACTTGTCATGTGCATCCGTCTGCCTTGCAACTTGCCCACACCCGTCCTAATTTACTTTTGTCAAACTTCAAAACAAAATTGTTGTGGATTGGAAAATCAACTAGATGATGCCGGCATTCATTAACATTTTCAAACAATTGCCCAACATTCAATTGAACCTCGTTACCAACTCCTCTACGTGGACTCTCTAGTGGTTCAATGTCCTCCATATCATGCTTTGTTATGACCTCAGGGTTGGGCACCAATCCAATGTTTTGATCTTTCTCAGGTAAAGTGTTACGTCGACTGTTGACAAAAGATAGAGTGTAAGATGAAGCAACAATTTCTGCACATATAAGATTAAAATAAAGCAATTTACAGATGAAAAAATAAATTGTAGATATACCTATTCCTTGAAAAAGGACCCTCAGCAACAAATTCTTGTTGTGCCTCGGCAATATATACTACAATTCTTGAAGATTCCCCTCCCAACATAAAAGATGTATCTATATCATCACTAACAGTAATCACATCAAGCCCACTAGATAGACTTGTGTTGTGGTACATAATAGCTAATTTGCTTGGATTACACTTGGTTAAATTTGCAAAATGATTTTTTAGTTCCTCCAAGGAACTATTCCCATTATACTTGGTGACCTTCAATTTTTCTCCTTTATAAATAACACGTATGTCATTTGCATTCGTCTCAAATGACCCCCCATATCAGAATACCAGTTGCACTCCCTCAGTAGTCATCGTCAATACTATTGTATTAAATGAATAGCAAAGTTAGTGTTACAAAAAATCAATACAAAAAAATTACCAAAAATTGATATATTTCTTACTACTTTAGTGTTCATAAAATCTGAGTATTGCATAATAGATTGAAATAGTTTACTACTAAAATTGTCAGTAGCCATCATCAAAACTCATGCATTAAATGGATAGAAAAATTAGTGTTACAAAAAGTCAATACTAAAAATTTACCAAAAATTGGGATATTTCTAACTACTTTAGGATTCATAAAATCTGAGTATTACATAATAGATTGAAATAATGTACTACTAAATTGTGAGTAATAAACATTAAACAAAAGAAAACAAGAAATACTCACATAAACACAAAATAAACAACAAATTTTAATGCAAACAAACAAGTTTAACAATTATTTAGCCAAAACAAGGAATACAATGTATCAACATGATACAAATAACAAATAATTACATAAAAAAACAACTTCATCAATATTAAACAAATTCCATTATTCATAAAAAAATACACAAAAAATGTTATTCACAAAATAATAAATAAACTTTAATTAATCAACCATATAAAGAAAGAGTAAGAACGGTACCAATCACGTCCAAATAGTGGGTCAATCTCTTCAACTTTGTGGGTTACTGTATCAAGGGACAGTAAAGGGAGTACGATGCTTCAATGATCAGTTTTTCCCAACTTTATAAAAATAAATATATATATATTTCCGTTTGTGAGCAAAAAATGTTGGCGCACAATATTTCACATGTTGAACATCCGAAATTCTCAGAATTTCGGATGTTTAAAATCCGAAATTCTCAAAATTTCGGATGTTCAACATCCGAAATTCTTAGAAGTTTGAATGTTCAGCATCCGAATTTGTTAAAATTTCGGATGTTCAACATCCGAAATTGAGAAAATTCACTATTGTCGGCACGGTTGTCTTCGGATGTTGAACATCAAAAAAAGGGCAAAAGTGTCTTTTTAAAAAAAAGACGTTATGGAAGATAAAAAACGGACAGATGAGTAATAACATAAACTAGTAGGTATAACTGTAATAACGTAAAGTATAACTAATATGTATGTAATTTCCCCTTATTTTTAATAAGGAATGCTCCAATATGATAAGGTTGTTTTCACGAGTGCAGTTGGCATAAGGATGCATCCGTAGCTGTAGAGGTAAGGTGTACCTTCAAATTTTATCATGGTATATAATTTTGATGTAAAATGTTCTTAAGTTTATCTCAAAATCTATTTTTATATCTAATCATAAAATTATAAATTTGAAGAATGGTTAAAATCAAGTAGATCAATAAACATATGAAAATCTTGAAAATAGACGGTGTATATGTTGTAAAATGCACTATTTCTGAGACTTAAAATCTTTTTATTTTTCATGGTCATATATCTCGAAGTCGAGATGATCAATCAAAGGGTTTTTCAAAATTAAAACTACCTTTTTCAATTGATTTTGAGGTGCATCCGTAGTTCTACATTAAAAGGTTGCATCTTTGTAGAAACGTTTTCGTGTCTTCACACCTAG